TGACACTAATATTTGTATCTTTGCTAGATGTGCCCAAACCCCAACCCCAAACCCAAACCCAAACCCCAAACCCAAACCCAAACCAAACCCAAACCCAAACCCAAACCCAAAATTTAACTTCCTCTTTCTTAAAATATTTTCTTTAAATCTATTCCTAAATCATGAACAAATTCTCCTTAATAGATTAGGGCACCTTTTGATTGAAAATGAAACTGGTTGGATATTAAAAGAACGGTAATGTTGGAGGTAGCTAATTAGTGAACAATATATACTATGATTTAGAAGAATTTAGGATCGAAATTTTGAGAGTTTAAATTTTTCAAAGTTTTTCTCATGACTCTATTCTTCAGATAAGAAATGTTGTTTTGATTTGATATCCCAAAAACGTATAGTATTATCCTCACTACCAGATGCTAAAATATCCCCATCAGGAGAGAAACAAACTGATCTAACCCTTTAGAAATGGCCATCCAATTAGGCTTTCTATTATCCTGTCTTAACATCCCATAAACGAATAGAACAGTCTGAACTACCAGATGCTAATGTAGTACCATCAGGAGAGAAATTGACTGATAGAATTTCATTAGAATGGCCCTCTAATTTGGCTTTTTATTATCCTGTCTTAACATTCCAAAATCGGATAGATTTATCACCACTACCAGATGCTAAAGTAGTACCATCAGGAGAGAAACAGGTTATTCGAACATAATATGTATGACCATCTAATTAAGTTTATTATTATCCTGTCTTAGCATCCCACAAATGGATAGAGTTATAAATACTAGATGCTAATGTAGAGCCATCTGGAGAGAAACAAATTGTGTATCCCATATCCGAATGATCATCGAATACTGCTTTTTATTATCCTGCCTTAACATCCCATAAACGGATAGACTTATCTGAACTACAAGAGGCTAATGTAGTACCATCAGGAGAGAAACAGATTTTAAAAACATAATTTAAATGACCATCTAATTTAGCTTTTTATTAACCTGTTTTAATATCCCATAATTGAATAGATTGATAACAACTAGCTGCTAATATAGTACCATTAGGGGAGAAACAAGCATATTCAATTTCATAATTAGCATCTAATTTAGCTTTTTATTACCCTGTATTAACATCCCATAAACGGATAGACTTATCCCCACTACCAGATGCTAATGTAGTACCATCAGGAGAGAAATTGACTGACATAACATAATCTGAATGACCATCTTATTTGGCCTTTTATTATCCTATCCTAACATCCCATAAACGAATAGATTTATCTCCACTACCAGATGCTAATATAATACCATCAGGAGAGAAACAAACTGATAATACTTGATCTATATGACCATCTAATTTAGCTTTTTATTATCCTGTCTTAACATCCCATAAACGGATAGAAATATCTTCACTACCAGATGCTAATGTAGTACCATCAGGAGAGAAATTGATTGAATAAATAGCTGATGAATGTCCCTCTAATTTGGCTTTGTATTAACCTGTCTCAACATCCCATAAGTGGATAAGGATGTCTCCATCACTAGATGCTAATGTAGCGCCGTCAGGGAGAGACAGATTTAAGTGACAGTTACAGATCGACAATTGAATTTGGATTTTTACTATCTTGAATTAACATCCCATAAGATGATAGAGGAACCAGCACCCCCAGAAGCTAATGTGATTCCATTAGGAGAGAGATTGACTGATAGAATTTGATCATGACCATT